AAAAAAGTTCCAGATTCACCTGGTATGTCATGAACTCAGCTATGAAAGACAGGAACTAAAGAAAGAAAGAAAGAAAAAGATTCCTTTTAAGAAGAAAAAAGTTCCAGATTCACTTGATATGTCATGAACTCAGCTATGAAAGACAGGAACTGGCTGGGTGGCAATGGCACACGCCTTTAATCCCAGCACTTGGGAGGCAGAGCCAGGTGGTCCTCTCTGTGAGTTCAAGGCCAGCCTGGTCTACAGAGTGAGATCCAGGACAGACACCAAAACTACACAGAGAAACCCTGTCTCGAAAAACAAAAAAAACAAAACAAACAAACAAACAAAAAAGGACAGGAACTGTTTGTTTGTTTTTCTCCCAAATTAGCCAGAACATCCTATGGAAATAAATTATATTCAAAATTCATATAGAAAATTTCCATTGTCATTTCCATTTGGAAGGGAAATGCTAGGGATAAAATTCAGGGCTTTGCACCTCCTAGGCAAGTCCTCTTCCAGGTAGAGCAGGCTGGCCTTGAACTCATGGTCTTACCCTATCCTCTTCAGAGCTAGATTACAGGTGTGGACCACTGGAAGACCCATTTTCTTTTCCTTGGATTACTCGGAGCCTCTACCTACCTGCTGCCTCAAAGCTTTGAGCTGCTTTGAGTTTCTGAGAAAGCCTAGCCGGCCTTTCACCCCCAGGAGGACTGGAGTATGATAGACTTGGAACCCAAACCCACGCTAATGCCCAGCCCCTCCAGCTCACAGTTCTGACAGCCACAAGGGCAGTAAGGAGCACATTTTAGCCTCCTCGAGGGGTTCCCTTTGATTGTTAATAAGTCTGTGCTTTGTCCCGGAGGAGTTCTCGTAAGGCGTGGTGAGTGTGCGGTCCATGGCAAGCATCACTGACCTGCGGCATGCCGCTGTTTCCTGTGCTTCTGGTAGATTCCTCCCAATCTGGCTAGGGCAATGTTGCCACTCCCGAGGGTGATTATTAGGTGAATATTGGGACCTGTAGTGGGGAGGATGGGGATCCCCACAGCAGTGCTTTTGAGGGAACTGCCCTTATGGGGTTGTCAGCCCCTACAATATTCCCCAAAACTTCAACTGCTCCCTCCCTTCCAAGTTGCCACCCAAAACCACATGAACTCTAGGACCAAAACGATGAAGTTGGAGGGTCCCATGAACTGTCTGTCTCCTGCCACCCCTATGGACTCAGTGCCCCTTGCCACAGCACCTGGTCTTCCACCCAGCAGTGAGCACCTGAAGACAAATGGCCCGCAGAACCCACTGTGCATTAATGATGGTGTGGAATGGGGCCTGTTTCACCCCGACATGCCCGTGTCCTGACTCAGGAGCAGCCCCTGTTTGGATTCAGAGACCCGGTAGAGTGGCCTTGGAGGCTGCCTCCACCTTTCTTGTCCCTTAGTGGGTAGTGAAACCTGTGAAGGATCAAGTCGGTGACGTCTCTGGCTTCTGTGTATCAGCCTTCAGTATAGCATGACACCCCAGAACCCCTTTTGCAGTGGGCCTCGCTGAGGCTCAAGGCTCACGGCATTTCTTCCTGGCAGAGTCCCTTCAGAAAACCCCCCAGACTTAGCCATTAGAAACAGTGAGCATTTTCAATATTTTATTAACAAATGTGGTGGCAAAAGAACGTGTTATCTGGCAGCATCCCCAACCATCCCACCCTGCTGGGCATCCCCACATCCCCACCATCGTGGTGGGGATCTGCCACGCTTTTCTGGCAAAGCTCTCAGCCAGCTCCCTGAGTCTTGGCTGTGCTCAGTTACCCTCGAACTGCTGAGGGCATGAAGATACTTCCTGCTCACAGGCAAGGGAGAGAGTTTTGTTTGGGATCTCAGGACCACTGAGGCAAGCCATGCTGCTGTGGCTGGCGGATGGGAACTGATGCTCCCTCCTGGGGCAAGTAGAGATGGGTAAAAACTCTGGGTAGAACCTCAGTCCTCTTAAGGCATAGCATTCCTCCAAGACCGGTTCAGAGGGCATCATCCTCTGACTCTCATTTGCAACCAGGGAGAATCCAGAACTGAACCCGAAGTCTGCGATGAGCCCTTGACAACCAGCTCGCTGTGGGCCCTGGGATGAGTCCTCTCCACAGTGGACCTACTTTAGTAACCAAGGCCGTGAGGAAGAAACAGATCTGTACAGTGGGGAGCGGGGGTACTGAGGAGAGGAAGGAGGTTTCAAGATAATTGTGTGGTCACCAGGTGCCTTCTTTCTAAAAAGTGGCAGCTGTCGGCTCTGCCCAAGTTCCCAGCTCCTTCCTGAAGGTGGCATGAGTCCCATGGACCCTTCAAGCAGGCATCTGTGGGACCTGAGCTCGGCCCCCTCTGCCTCTTATTCTTTCGTCTTCAGACATCATTATGAACACGCAGGGAAGTCTCTCCACATAGACAATGCCTGGCTGGTTTCGAATGATGACGGCGGCCTCTAAGACACTCTACTTCTGCAGAGTCCCAGCCACGGCCCGGGTGCTGCCAGTCCGAGCATCTGCAGGGGAGGGCTCCTGATGGTCCCCTTGCTGCAGGCCCTGCGCAGCATCCCATGTCCCTGCTGACGGCACAGTGCTGTCTGTGACTGAGGAGCGACCTAGGTCAAAGATCCGGCGCAGGAATGTCTATCAGAAACAGATGATTCGCTTCTCATTTTCAAACTCTTTGGCCTCCTCGGGCTTAATTAAGTTTCCATTGAGACTAGTGAAAAGGAGAAAAAATCAAATTTTACCCAACGTGTTGCAGAATATTATCCATCCCTTCCCAACAGATGACCCCACACACTGTGTGCATCATACAACCCTGAAGTGAAGGAGCACACTCTATCCAAATTATGCTTTCATGTTAATACCATTCTTTTCCAGTTGCCCTTGCTCTGCTGACTGGTTCTCATTGGGCTCGCAGCAGCCTGAATAAGCCTGAGCTTAATGACATTTCCAGGCCTCATCTTTCTTCTGAGCCTTCATAGGTTTTCAGCTGTCTTGACTTCTTCCTCCCTGAAGCATTGTGTCCTCTCTCAGGTGGACATCGTGGACTCTAGCTTTTCTCCTGTCTCTGGTACTCGTTCTGGGCCTGCTCTCTCATGCCCTCATCTTCAGTACTGGCTTCCTCCAAGGTGGGGACCCACTGGGCCCTCAGCTCCTGGCCCCTTTCCCTTCCACAGCCGGGTCAGTTCGGCAAGCTTCCTATTGACATCTTTCTCTGGATGACTCCATACACTTCAAAGTGGCCACAGCAGCCCGGGAGCCCCAGCTCGGTAAACAGGTCCTCTCTTTGCCCAGCTGTGTCAGGTCCCTGAGGCCTGCCTCCACGCTAGTTCTTCTATCATGAAGTTCTGTTTATTTCCTAAGCAGTCCTGGCATGACACTCTGACCCTCTGGAGCCCGGTCCCCCCCACTTCTCGGAGGGCCCAGGGCCCTTCTTTGTACATAGCGGGGTCTTCCTGACTGCTCCAGCAGAAGTGCTCCGGCCTGACCACACCCCTGTCTGTATTACACCCTTAACTAGCTTTCCCCTGCTTTCAGAATAAGGGTCAAGACCCATGATCTGACCCCGAGACCTTTCATGCCTGGGCTCTGCCTATCTCCTCGGCCCCCTCCCGGCCTCTCTTCCACACCTATGGCATACCAGCTTCCTGTGGATTTCTTTGAGACAGGTGCATTAGTTACTTTCCTTGTTGCTGTGACAAAAGCAACTTAGGAAGGAAGGATTTATTTTAACATGCAGTTTGAGAGGGCATGATGACAGAGACGATGACAGGAGCAGGGGCCACTTGTCACACTGCATCTGCAGTCAGGGAGCGGTGAGAGATGAGTGCTGGTGCTCTGTGCCATCTATCTATCATCTATCTATCAATCATTTATCTATCATCTATCTATCTATCTATCTATCTATCTATCTATCTATCTATCTATCTATCATTTATCTATCTATCTATCTATCATCTATCTA